TTGCGGCAAAAAAGCCCCGATTGCGAAAATGGCGATCAGGGCTTTTTTGCAGAAAAGCGCGTCTAGATTAGCATGGACGCTTTTCTGCAAAAAGTGCTTTTGCGGAAAAGCGTCTGTGCCAATCGAGACGCTCTTTTCCGCAAATGCTTTTAACGGAAAACTTTCCTGTTAAAAGCATTTGCAGAAAATCATGCCAGTCTAGACATACCCCGGCTACGTCTAGACTACACGGCTCCATCGACGGAGCCATGTAAGCTAGTTTACCCAGCATAGGCAAAGAAGCGGGGATTTAAATAATCCCTGCTTCATTAAAATAAACATGACCTCCACACTGTGCCGACGATCAGTTGATCTGGCACAGCGTGGCACTCTAGTGCGGATCTGCCTGCTGGGGAAGCCCTTGCCAATTGATCCTGAAAACCTCGTTTCACGAGGCATAAAGGATCGGTTGGCAAAGGCTTCCCCAGCCAACAGATCCACGTCTAGACTGCCATGCTGTGCCGGGTCAGCTGATCGTCAGCACAGCGCAGCGGCCATGTTTATTTTAATGAAGCGGGGATTATTTAAATCCCCACTTCTTTGCCTATGCCAGGTAAACTAGTTTACATGGCTCCATCGACTGAGCCATGTAGTTTAGACATACCCCATTGTGGCTTGTGCTAGCTAGAGTAAGGCTACCACGGGCAGACCTACCTGTTCTATAATTACACTGTCATTTACAGTTTCCTTCAGTAGGACTTCTGCCTAGATTAGACTATAGTGGCTCTGCTGCACCACAAACCCTTATTGATGGGCAGGGGGATGGTCACCCCATCAATTAAGGCAGCACATGCTCCTAGCTAGACAAGGGCAAAGTCAGTAGCCATTTGAGGAATCTCCCATCAGCCCCACTGCAGGTCTCCACCCCCAGTGGAAGTCACAGCCAGGGGAGTAGTGGAAACAACCTTTGCAAACTTGGCATGAGCCAGTGGTGTTGCTTGATTGGGTAGTGAACCTGTGTGCTGATAAGTTTTAGTGCTTTGCAGGGGCAAGTCTGGATTTGAAGGGTCCGAGTGCAACCTCTAAAGTGGGTGCCCAGACAGATGCACCTGGAACCAAGAGCATGAACCTGCAGTGTTGCCACATATACAGAACTCCAGGGAGCACTGTGTGTGGCAAGCACAGTATGGCAGGTACCCTGGCTGTGGGGCCCCTTTATGTCCAAGCATCTGGGCCAAAGAGTCTGTGTGTTGCCCCCACCACCTGCGTTACGTTTTCAGCGCCTGAGCAGAGTTTTTATCATTCTCCTTCAGGAACTCATCAAACATGGCGGCGTCCTTCTCCAGGAACTGTTCAGCCTTTTCCAGTTTTGCTTCCTCTTCTGCTGCTAAGTTTTCTAGCTTCTGAATTTCCTCTCTCTTTATGGCCACAGCGTACTGAAATCAATCCAAAAGGGCAACACGGTGACTTATGCTAGCTCCTCACTCCGTTCGGTTTCTTTAGAGCTCTGGTTGGGCTGCAAACATTGTTCTATCAACTACAAACATAGGCATGACTTCACACTGCAGCATGGCTTTCTCCCTCTGGATCTCAAAGCACTTTGACACCCACATGCAGATAGGTGGGCTGAGGAAAGGAGCTGCTTAATGATTCACTGAGGAAGACAGTGATGAAGCTAAAAACAGAACCCAGGAGTCCAATAATCCCCTTCCCTGCTCTAACCACAAGATTACATAGCTGAATTCAACTGGGTAATATTGGTGTAAGAGAGAAGTTGTATGCGCATATCAGGTCCAATCAGTGCACACACTTATACGGTCATCACCACCATACTGTCCAAGAACAGCACAACATTAATGAATTTATAATTTATCTTCACAACAGCCTTGTGCAGCAGGGAAGCCTTATCTTTGTTTTACAGATGAGGAACAAAAGGGAGATTAAGCAATTTATACAAGATCACATAGTAAATCTGTGATACAGCCAGATACTCAGAGTCACTCTCCAGGGCCTTCACCACAATGCCAACATACTTAGTTAATGACGCCCAATTAGCACTTCCCTGCTCCAACCACTATAAAAAACACACAAGGAAAGTGCTCAAGATTGTGATTTTATGTAAAAACTTTCAGAAAACAAAGCCAAATACCTGCAGCAGAAACATCTTTCGCTTCTTCTCTATGTATTCATGGAGCGTCTCTTTTTCCACTTGCTGATCTGAAACAATGAGACCAAGTTGTGCAAGGTGGAGGTTGAACAAGTAGCCACGGTAAAACACAGTGATAAACAGAAGGAGGCGCATATGCAGAACCACCTTTAGTAGGGAGAACTCACTGGCATGGGTATGGATGTTTGCACTTGAGGCCTAATTGAACAGCTACAGAATCGAGACAACTCACTCTGGGGCTACACCTTCACTGCAGGCTTCTTGCGCAAGAACTTTTTGTGCAAGAGTTCTTGCACAAGAGCGCATCCACACTGCCATGTGCTTTTGCACAAGAACATACATGGAGGTTAGGGCCATAAAAGGCTATTAGCTAGGGGGTAAGGAATGGTGCCCCTGGCCTCTGTTTGTCAAAGGCTGGAGATGGATGGCAGGAGACAAATTGCTTGATCATTGTCTTCAGTCCACCCCCTCTGGGGCACCTGGTTACTGGCCACTGTTGGCAGACAGGATACTGAGCTAGATGGCCCTTTGGTCTGACCCAGTATGGCCATTCTTATGGCAGTGTGGACACTCTCTTGTGCAAAAAAGCTCTGATGGCCATTTTAGCCATAGGGGTTTCTTGCGCAAGAAACCCTGGTTCCCATCCACACTGCCTTCTTGCGCAAGAACTCTTATTCCTCATGGGGAGAGGAATAATTCTTGAGTAAGAAGCCCTCTGTTCTGATGCGCAAGTAAACTTACAGGAAAGCAAGAACACGCGTGCAGTGTAGACGTTCTGCAAGTTTTTGCACAAGAACAGCCGTTCTTGCACAAAAAGCCTGTATTGTAGACGTAGCCTGGGTGTCTTTGGATTTGTCTACACTGCCACTTTACTGCATTGTAGCTTTCATACTTAGAAGTGTGAAAACACACACACACACACACAGAAGCACAGCAAGTTACAGTGCTGTAAATCACTAGTGTAAACAGGCTCCCAGCACTAGTGTTGGCTACTCCCCTGGTGGAGGTGGTTTACCTACAGCGCTGGGAGAACTCTCACAGTGTTGCTGTAGTGACCACACTGCTGCATTAAAGCGCTGCCACATTTGCACTTGAAACCCCACCTTGGCTGGAGGGGAAGTCCGCACCTTTGACTGAATGGACTCAGGCCTACCGACGAAGCGGGTGGAAAGGTGACAATTGCCGTGGGGTCTGGTGATTCATAGGGCTCCGGTGTTCCAGCTATCACCGCTGCTACAGTAGCGGCCAGAGCCCTGGGTTCTTTAAATCACTAGCAGAGCACTGCGCCACATGCTCGATGAGGAGTGCTGAGGACTGGCTGCCCAGCCTCACCTCTTCTGGCTGATGCTCTGCCCCTTCCAGGAGTGCAGAGCCGGGGCTGCTTTCACCTGCCCTGGGGCCCCTGAAGGTTGTTGGCCCTCTGAGTGGACTTGTAAGCTCTAAAGTTGTACGTGTTTTATGTTATTTTTTGTACATAATTCTGCATTTGGGAGTTCAACTTTCATGAAAAAAAAGATTGTACTACAGTACCTGTAATGGAGGAAATGAAAAATACTATTTATTTTGGGTTTTTTACAGTGCAAATACTTTGTATTCTGTGTTGTAATTGAAATGAAAACATCAGAAAAAAGTAGAATATAAAAAATAATAAATAGTATTATTATTGTTTAACAGCATGACTAATCAAGCAATTAGTCACAATAATTTTTAATTGCACAATTAATTACAATTTTTGTATCTCTTGGCAGACCTAAAAATGGATTGCAAAGAGCAAAATAATTTTACTCGCAAAGGTAAAATCTTGTGCATGCATTTTAGCAACATAGCAGTACTAAGGCTGTTGTGGTGGATTTCCTTGACTGGTTTTCCAGTCTGTTTCATTAAAATCAGTATTAAACTAGTGAAACTGGCATAACATAGTGGGGAGTTAGACCCCTTTGAAGAGTCAAATCTAGGTCTCCTTGCACTGATAGCAAAACTCCTATTGACTTTCCTAGCACCAAGATTTGGTTCAAAGTGCAAATCCCCCCCCCC